GTTGGTTTTACAGTCTGGTGCCCTGGGTGTGGTTCCCCCAACAACAGTGGCATACACTTTTCCACAACAGGCCACAATCTTTTTGAGGTCTTTTTGTACCTGACCTTTAGTTTTTATCATGATGTACTGCCATAGATAACATTCATTTTCATGGAGATATCTGTTGTTCTTTTGCTGCAGTTGAGGGCAATGAAACATGACTCAACACACCCATGTGGAGTTTACTGGGGGAAGGGAACAAGGGGGGGTATGTGTTGGCCAACCAGGAACAGAAAAGAAGGGGGGAGGGAAGGGGGTAAAGGGAAAGGGGGTAAAGGGGAGGAAGAGGCGGAAGGGGGAGAAGGGGCGAACATATGGAAGGTGCTCGCTTAAAAGGAAAAGCTTGCACATGCGCACCGAGTCCTTACAAAGCCCTGTAGTCTATGATGTAGTCATGATGTGCTTCGAGCTGTCTAAATATCTGCCTGAATGCTTATCTGGCCCTTTGTCAGGGGGCAGGGTCAGCATAATGCCGGCATACCAACAATATCGCTCCTCCTTGTTTTTGTTTGCTTGTTGGTTTGTTTATGATTTTGAGTGCAGGTGAGGCCGGAGGAGTTGTATTTCCTGGAGCTGGACAGTTGTGAACCACTGACCCGGGTGCTGAGAAATAAACTCGGGTTCTCTGGAAAAGCTGCCAAGTACTCTAAACCACTGAGCCCACCTCTCCAGCCCCCTCACCTCAGAGGACAATTGCTACACACCCAAGGAGTCTAGCCTAATCATGGAAAACATTTGTTTGAGAATACTAAGCCAGTGACCTACTTCTGTTCTGTTCATTTCCATTTAAGAGTTCCTTTCCCTTTCTTTAGACAAGATCTAGATATAGTCCAGGCTGCCTCCACACTTCCGTGCTCAAGGCTGACTCTACCTCAGCCTTCCCAGTACACAGGACTGCACACATACCAACATCCCTCCCTTTTCATCTTTAATAAATGCTTGCAACCCCATCTTAAATGCTTCAATGCCTCATGTAACTTTCATCTCACTTAAGACAGGTGTTTCTTTAGCTTGGTTATCCTCTGGAATTGATGCTTGGTGAGTCTGCCTAGCCTTGTTAGCTTCAAGCATATTTCTGTGTTTGTGTGCGTGTGTATGTATCTGTGTTTATGTATGTGCATGTGTGCTTATGTGTGTACATGTATGTGTGTGCATGTGCCTGTGCTGTGAGTCTGCTTGGGAGTAGTGGAGGCTTTCCCCTGTCTTGCTCCTTGGCAGGGGGCATGAGTCTAAAAACTGGCCTAGCAGTTTAATGTTGGCTGTAGCTGTCTAGGAGTGACATTTCTAAACACCAGCAGTAAAACCTTTGCCTCTGGGAGGAAGTCATTGCCTGTGTCTGGCAGGCTATCAATTTGAAATCTGAGTCCACATTCATAAAAATCTACCCAAAGCCACTGACTACCTCTCTGGTTGTACACTCTGCCAGCCAATCCTTTACTAGTAGCTTCCAGATACTTCACAGTGGGCCTGCAAAGCTCTTTTTCTTTGGCTTTCTACACATCAGCCTAGAGTCTTGTGTTCCTAAAAGCTTCTTTATCAGGTAACATTTCCAGGTTCCTGGGAAGAATTTTTTTGTTTGTTTGTTCTTTTGTTTGTCTTTTTTTTAAGTATTTTTTTCTTATTTTACATATGGATCCCAGTTCTCTCTCTCTCTCCCACTCTCCTATTTCCCCAACTTTCCCCCACTCCATTTCCCATCCACTCCCCAAGGAGGGCGAGGCCTTCCAGGAGGCCCTCTCTCGTGTCTCTAGGCTAAGGGAGTATCTCTCCATGGGGAATGTGCTCCCAAAGTCCTTTTGTGCACCAGGGATACATCCTGGTTCCACTGTCAGAGAGGTCCCATAGACTGTCCAGGCCTTCTAAGTGAGACCCACGTTCAGGGGGTCTGGGTCAGTCTTCTGCTAATTTCCCAGCTATCTGTCTGGGGTGCATGAGCTCCCCCATGTTCAAGTCAGCTGTCTCTGTGGGTTTCTGTAGCCTGGCCTTTACCCCTTTGCTCATCACTCCTCCCTCTCTGCAACTGGATTCCAGGAGTTCAGCTCAGTGTTTAGCTGTGAGTGTCTGCTTCCTTCAGTTACTGGATGAAGGCTTTAGGATGGTATATAAGGTAGTTATCAATCTCATCAGGGAAAGGCATTTAAAGTAGCCTCTCCATTATTGCTTAGATTGTGAGTTGGGGTCATCCTTGTATGTCTCTGGACATTTCCCTAGTGCCAGATTTCTCTTCAAACCTATAATGGCTTCCTCTATTATGATATCTCTCTTCTTGCTCTCCTCTATTCCTCTCCAGACTCAATCTTCCTGCTCCCTCATGTTCTCCTCTCCCTCCTCTTCTTTCCTTCTCTTCCTCTAACTCCCTCTCCTCTCACTGGCCCCCTTCACCCCCCTGCTCCTGGGAAGGGTGATAATGGAGGATATTGCTCAGGCTGTCTGGCTGGTCACCAACTTTAGGCTCAAATGATTCTGAGACCTTATCCTACCAAGTAACTGGGACTAGAGGTGTGTGTCACCATGCCAAATTTATAATGTGGGTGTTTCTTTATTTTCACATTTTACTCTCATATTAAGTGGGAAAAGGAGCTATCATCGACGAGATGCACAATTCTGTGGGTCTTCAGAAAAAGAACAGTGTTTCCATTGTCTTCATTGAAAGTCTGGATTGTCACAGTCCACTGCTTCTGAGAATAGGCTTTCCTGGGCCAATGGCAGCATGCTGGTGTTGGACTGCCCATGGATGACTCAAGGCTCCCTGCAGGGTGCTAGAAGACCCCTCCATGATGATGGATAACTGGTCATAGGGCCACTGAAACTTTTTAAATGGAGCTGGAATGTCATAGTCCTGAAGATGGTACACCAAGGTAGGAGGGACATGGAAGTGGGAGGTCCTCGGAGGCTGGGATGGAGGTACATGAAGGTTGGAGGTACACTGTTGTGGAATAATCTTTTTGTACACTGTGAAGATGTGTCACTCAGATTGATATAATAAAAAGTTAAGCAGCCAATAGCTAAGCAGGATTTTCAGGGCAGAGAGAACACTGTGAGGAAGAAATTGGAGTCACCAGCCAGATGCACAGGAAAATAGGACATGCAAGAGGAGAGGTAACAGCCATGAGCCATGTGGCAGGATGTAGATGAATAGAAATGAGTTAATGTAAGTTAGAACTAGCTAGAAACTAGTCTAAGCTATCGGGCAAGCTTTCATAATTAATAGTCTCTGTGTGGTTATTTGGGGGCTGGCTGTGGGATAACTGTAACTATAGTACACAGAAGTTGGAATTACACAGTTGTCACAGGACCACTGGAGGTGGAGGGCATATGGGAGATAGGAGGTCAGCAGGGTCATCTCACAGAGTTGTCATTCTTCTGTGTCTGTGTCCCAGTATTCTGTGCAGGGTCTCTCTATAGGACAGAACAAGGGCTTATCTGTAGTCTCTTACTGACTGCACAGACAGTGGCTCATAGGTTCTGTATGCTCATGAGGACACGACAACAGCTCCATGGGGACATGGCAACAGCTCCAGTTCATCACCATCACTGTCCTGTAAAGATGCTGAGAAATAGCATTAGTCACAGTGTGGATCTTCTCTGAGGCTGACTTCATGTTCAACTAGTTCTCACGCCCACAAAAAGGCCACAATTTCCCAGTTACTCCACAATATAAGCAAAGGGCTGTAGGGGCTGGCAAGATGGCCCAATGGTTAAGAGCATTTCCTGCTCTTCCAGAGGACTTGACTTCAGTTGCCAGCACCTGTAACTCCAGCTCTGACTCTTTGTTCCAGTCTCCACAGGTGGGTGTGCACATGCACACCCCTTCCACACATTTAAAAAATACATCTTTAAAAAGGAGTGTTTGTGTGAAACACACACACACACACACACACACACACACACACACACACACACACTGAGGGCTCTGGTTTCTGGCTTCCTTTCTGTTCAGCAGGTTTCTGGGTGTTTCTCAGACTCCCAATTTGAATAGCTGCTTTGATATCTGACTAGATGCAGTAGAGTCTGGGAGGTTCTCCCTAATGTTTTTAAATACATATCAAAGTTGAAAAGGATTTCCCAAGCAGTAGTGATACAGAGATGTTGTGGCAAGTGAAGAGCTGCCATCATGGGCACAGTAAACAGTAATCAAAGTTTACAAGAGAGAAACAGCTCCTGGTCACTGCCTGTGTGAAGCAGGGCCTGTGATCAGGGTGCTGGAAACTGAGGCTTGACCAGAGAAGGTAAAGTAAGACCAGCCTTGGGGGACCTAAGAGCGTTAACCCTCTTGCAGAGGACCTGAGTTCAGTTTCCAGCACCCACAGAGTAGCTCACAATCACCTGGAACTCAATGGTTTCTACTGGCGTCCAGAGGCATCCAGTCATAGGGACACACAAATAGATGTGTTAAGATAAACAGTGTGTGTGTGTGTGTGTGTGTGTGTGTGTGTGTGTGTGTGTGTGTGGCCTGTTATCCCTCAGACAGGAGGACCAGGAGTTCAAAACAAAAGCAAAGAGGAGAGGAGAGGCAGAAGAGAGAGAGAGAGAGAGAGAGAGAGAGAGAGAGAGAGAGAGAGAGAGAGAGAGAGAGGGCAAAGAAAAGGAATATGGAATGGAGTTTTATGGTTGGTGCGCACCTGTAATTCCAATTTTTGGAATTACACCTATAAATAGCAAATAAATCTGAAAAAGTGAGCAGAATGTGGGTGTTGGCTAGCCTGAAGGTCTTTTGTGGCTTCCGGAATGGCAGCAGAAGCTGGGCCTGAAAAGAAAGTGCAGGACACCTCCGCTGCTTGGGAGGAGGGTGAGATCCAGGGCGGACCTCCACACCCCCCCCCCCTGCCCCGCGGGCGGGCTGGGGAGCGAGCAGGGCGTCTCCTGGCCGCCAGGGGCCGGGCTCCCGGGGATCCGCGCCCTGCTCCGCTCTGCTCCTCCTCCGGGGCGTCCCCGGCTGCCGGCCAATGGGCGGCGGGCAGTACGGAGCGGGAAGCCGAGCGCGGGGTGCCCAGCCCTCCCAGGCGTGGGGCCCGCAGCGCCAGCTCTGAGTCTTGGAATAGTCGCCGGGTTCCCGCGCGGTCCTCCCGAGCCCTCGAGGTGGCCGGTGTGCAGCGTCCTGGCGATAGCATACCCGAAGATGCAGGATGGCTGCGCGACCGCCTGTCAACCTCTCCTACCGCACCACGGGTTCCACCTGCCTGCACCCGCTCAGCCAGCTCCTCGGCATCCCGCTAGACCAGGTAACAGCCTACCACTCGCGACCCAGACCCTCGGTCTGGGGAGAGGAATGCTCCCGGGACCCTGCCCACAGCCCACAGGTGCGAGGGCTTCATTTTTGAGTTGGTTGCTTTTAATGTATGAAAGCTATCCGTCCACCTAAACCGACAAGTTGGACTGAACTTAAGTTTTGGTCTGTGATTGAATTCTTCATTAGATTCGCGAATCCAGCCTTTCCCCACCTTGTGATTTTGAATTTTGGCGATCCTACTTTAAGAATAAGTTCTGATGGAGCTGGGCGTGGTGGCTCACACCTCTAATACCAATTCTCCCGAGCCTGGGGCAGGAAAATTGCTGCATGTTCCAGTCTACTGTCTAAGTTACTGAGTGACACTCCTCAATCCCAAAACAAAGCCAAATAACAACAAAAAGTATAAAGTCCAACTAGTCAGGTGTGTAGACACATAGTATAGCATATGGTGGTGATTTTTTGTTTGTTGAGACAGCATCTGGTTGTGTAGCCCAGACTTCCTCGACACTTACTCTGTAGTCCAGGCTGGCATCGAACTCTCCATTTTACTTAGGTTGATCTAGAACTTGTGACGATCCTCCTGCCTCTTGTGTTGAGATGTTTCTCAGACCAAGAGGGCCTTTGTTACTCAGTCTTCATTCATCCCTACTGTAAGAAGCTGATGAGTAGGGTAGGGCTGGTTCTTGGGAGGATAGGAACTGTGGGGAAGTCTTTTGAACTGTTCAGGAATTGCCTGCTACCTTACTGTTAAAATTGGCAACAGTAACCTGGTAAGAAACCTTGCAAAGATGGGGGTGGGGAAGGGGGGGCTGCAGCTCAGTGGTAGAGCTTGTAGTATCCAGGAGGGTCTGGGTGCTTGCTCCAGTACTGCGGCGCGGTTGGGTTGGGGTGGGGTGGTGGGTAGGGTGGGATGGTGGGGTGGGAAGGGTGTCTCTGTAGGCTTGGTACCTCAGGCTATATGTCTGTTGATTTAAATGGACTCAGGCAGGGCAAGTTGAAGTAAGACTCCTGCTCCCCTTACTGTTTTGTTTCTGCTAAGTTTTCCCAGTTTATTTTCCCTTCTTTAGCTGGGTTTTGTGGTGCTTGCTTCCATTTCCAGTATTTGGGAGACTGAGGCAGGGAGATTGCTTTTGTTAAATGGCACCTCATCCATTTGTGTCAGGGTATGAGGCTTAACAGCTTCAAGTTGGAGACTGGCTTAGGGTGTGTGGAGAGTACCAAGCCAGCCTGGCCTACATAGTAAAACCCTGGCTCAGAAATGCAAAACAAAAGAAAAGTTTCCCATCTTCCCAGAGCTGTTTTCTTTCCTTCTTTCCATGCTAGAGCTACCTGTACCTACTGCCCCTCCATTTGTATTCCTTCAGCAATGATGAAGTTGGACCTGACTTTTGCATTGCTCATAGAGCCACTCTTACTTATCCTCTTAGGCTCTGGCTTCTGCCTTCTCAACAGTTGCAAAACTCCGAGAATCAGGAACTTGATAGAAGTGTCAGATGTTAAGTCAGCAACTCTTCACTTTGAAGTAAAGATCAGGAATCCAAGGGACCCAGGCAGACAGGCAGGCAGGCAGGCAGGCAGGCCCAAGAACAAATTCTTTCACCTGGAAATGAAATTTATTTGTTGCTGAATATCCATAGGATGAGTTCCTTTTGCACTGACCTCTCTAATTCCTACTGGGATCTATTGTAGTTGCATTTTCTATTTTATAATAATCTATTTATAATAATAGAAAATAATTTCTATTTTACAACAATCTATTTTACGGAGGGGGCTTCCCCCACTTTGTACAGAAAGAAATGGATCGGTGAAGTGCTAAGGCTAATTGAGAGGGGAGGTCCTAATGTGTTATTAAGTTTTTAGCTGCATCCACCTCTATCCCGAATGCATGCACACACTCGCAAGCCCCTGATGGATATATGTACATGAGAGCAGGTGCTCACTGAGGTCAGAAGAGGGCCTTGGATTCCCTGGGGCTGGAGTTATGAGCAACTGTGAGATGCTGGATGTGGGTGCTGGGAACAGAACTGAGTTCTCTGAAAGATCAGTTTTTGCTTTTAACCTCTGAGTTACCCAGCCCCCAAAGTAACCCTGTTTTGAACTTATGAAAAGGAAGAGGAGAACATTACAGATGTGAAGGTTTTTAGTTTATACCGCAAATGAACTCAGATCATCATGGGATGAAGGGAAAGTCATAAGGAACACTTGGCATCTCTGCGATCTTGGGTTAGCCTGACCAGCAGGCTCAGTCTGAGCAACTTGGTGGAAGAAGTGCTAATCACATGACACCTCAAATCACTTGTTTTCAGCCCTGGGAACAAAATCCCAAACCGTAATTAGTATAATTTGGGACCACACTGTGGCAGTGGGTTTGTCCTTAAAGCCTTTTCCCAGTGTCTTAAGATTTCACATTCCTATTCCTAATTTCTAATAAACTATATTTTTGTTATTGCCTTTAATCTCTGGCTTTCCCTGCATCAAGAAGCTTATTATTAGCTAGGTGGTGGCGGACACCTTTAATCCCGGCACTAGGGAGGGAGAGGCAGGTGAATCTCTGTGAGTTCGAGGCCGGGCTTGTCTACAAAGCTACACAGAGAAACCCTGTCTTGAAGGAAAACAAAAGAGAGATGGCTGATCAATTGAGAGTGCTTGCTCCTCTTCCAAACAACCTGAATTTGGTTTCCTTTACCCTTATCAGGCAGCTCACCACCATCTAACTCTAGCCCCATGCATGAGTTTGCATACATACAGATACATACACACATACACACACACACACAAACACACACACACACACAAATCAAAAGAAAATAAATAAGTCTTTTCAAAAATGTTTATTATCCTCACAACCCTGTACTATCCTCTGTGTCCTGGCTTATGAGAGGGAGGAAGTATTTGCTGCTGCTTATGTCTAGTTACCTGTTCTTGGGGCCAATCTGAAATAGGAATGCTTGTGTCCAGTTACATCTATGATGGAAACCTACAGTTTTTTTTTTTTATACCTTTATTTTAAAATGGGGACTAGGCTTGCCTGATAAGCTCCTGAAGCTGTTAAATGTAAACTCTTATTTCATGACAGGCAGATAGAACACTGCAATCCAAATGAAGTATAGGAAAATGGGGATGACTCAGAGCTTCTGCAACTTGGTAATGTTTGCTGAAAACTGTATTATGAGGTCCAGAGAGATAGCTCAGTGAGTAAAAGGGCACTCGAGGCTAGCCTGATGACTTGGGTTCAATCCTAGGGACCCAGGTGATGAGAGGAGAAAACTGACTTCCATAAGATGTTCTCTGACCTTAGCGTGTACAATATAAATGAATTAAATACACACACACACACACACACACACACACACACACACACACACACACCCTAAAAGACGAAACCCGTATTTCTAAACGAGCCTTTGTGTGGACATGGGATTATCTAGACACTAACCTTCCCTTAGGATACATTAGGCAAGAAATTCCATTTTCCACGTATGGGGAGTAGGGAGTGAAGGATGAGGGCTCATGTTCTCTGCAGAGGATTTGGCTTTGGAGTGTGACGTGATGGACTTTAAATTGAACTGCAACCTCTATGATTACAAGCCAAGGCTGACTCAACCACCTGGTTGGGACATAGAGTTCTGACATCATTCACTCGTGTCGTGTGTGGTTGTAGCTTGGTGACAAAGCTCATAGAAAAGAGTTGCTTTGCAGATTTTGAGGGATGTCAGTGTGGTGGTGGATTCTGGGGACCCAGGACATCAGCATCTAATGGTGTCCCCAAGCTTTGTGTGTCAGTTCAGCCTTAGACCATGATGCTTTGTCCCCCTCCCTCCCTCTATTCCTCCCTCCGTCTATTCCTTCCTCCCTCTATCCCTCCCTCTGCCTTTCTCTCAATTTATCATCTGCTGAAAAAAAGACAGCTAGACTTAGATTCCAGGAAATGATTCTGAGGTTAAAGTAGCCAGGGATTAAGAGTTTAACATAGGCCTGTGATTCCTTTTGAAAGAGAACTCTTGGGGCTGGAGAGATGGCTCAGTGGTTAAGAACACTTGCTGCTCTAGCAGAGGACCTGGGTTGGGTTCCAGCATTCATACAGTGGCTCATGATCATCTGTAACTCCAGTTCCAGGGGAATCTGACTTCTTTTGACCTCTGAGGGCACCAGGCATGCATGTGCTATACATACAGACAGACAAAACACTCATATGCATAAAAATAAATCTTAATTTATTTTTTAAAAGGGAGTCTATGGGCCCTCTGGTAGTGGCTCAGTATTTATCCCTAGTATACGAATGGACTTTGGGAGCCCATTCTATATAGAGGGATACTCCCTCAGCCTAGACACAATGGGGAGGGTCTAGGCTCTGCTCCAAGTGATATGACAGACTTTGAAGACTCCCCATGGAAGGCTTCACCCTCCCCTCTCTGGGGAGCAGAAAGGGGATGGGATGGGGATTTTTGGGGGGAGTAGGAGAGGATGGGAGGGTTCAGGAACAGGATTGATATGTAAAACATTTCAATTTTAAATGAAAATCATAGATATACATACATATATATATATACATACATACATACATACATACATACATACATAGTCAAGAAGACCAGCCTTGGAGACCTGGCACTAGGCTAATGGTGACACAGCAAAAGGTCATCACGCTGCCATCTGTGACCTGTAGTTTCCTTGAGCTTTCGGTCACCTGGCTGAAGTTCTTGGCTATGCTTGGGAAACCCAGGTTCTGTTCTTATCAAATTCTTGCCCTATGTTAAAAGCTTGGCTCACATTCCACAGCCATTGTTAAATACGTTAAATATTTATTTAATCTCACTAGTACCAGGTACTTGGGTGTGTGGTGAAATAAAGTCAAGCTCCCCTCTGTAGAAGTGTTTACTGTAGCAGCGGAGGGGAGGCCCACACAAGTAAACAGGTGGTGTGTACTACAAAGTTTGTAGTTGGCACCTCAGGGGAGCAGGAAGAGAAGTGTAGGGCATACTTGCCTCCTGT